CAAAGCTTTAGCGAGCGCATGATCATCATTCTCCTCCTCCTCAACTTCACCCTCTTCCTTTAGAGAGTCATTAACCACCTCTCCATCATCATCATTAGCAAGCGCATCAAAGGCCGACCCCCCGAACATTGTACCACCCTTCTTGTTACCCTTTTCCGACCCGAATTCGCAACTTCCCCGCGATTTTCGAACAGGATCGCACGTTACGCAATGGCAATCCAATTCGCAGAAAGATGCGACGCGATCCCAATCAGAAAGAATGTCAAGAACCGATGAAGTTTCTAAGATTCATTACATTAGAAACAATAACAAAAAGAACAAGAAATATATTCAAAATTCAAAACAAAAGAAATGAGGCCAACGCATAGTTAAAGTGGGATAACATAATCTAACAAGTACTACCTTTGTAAGAAATGGATGGGAGCAGAGATTGCTCGCTTGGATTGCAAGAGTTTCCACTGCAGACGGTGAGAGATAGATATTCCAAGGATCGATAGAGTTGAGGTATCTATATTTTTTTTTGTTCAATTAAACCAACCTCTGCTTAGGGTTTCCGTGTAGCAATGTTTGACTGTTTGACTTTCAGTTCTGGTTTCGTTCTTCTTCTTTTTTTTTAATACTGCCCGTATATGGGCAATAGAATACAGTGTATTTTTGGACAAGAAATTGGAAAGAAGTATTTTATTTGGGGAAAAAAATATTGGAAATTATTTTAAGTTCTCCAATATTTTTGGTCAATTTCAAAACATTTCCTCACTTGGTATTTTTAGGAAAATTGCTACTTGTAACTTTTTTTTAATTCCATCATTAATTGATTTTCATTTACTTACCTAATAAAAATTTAATACATAAGCTGCAAACAAATAAATATGTGATGAAGTTTGCAAATGATTAACAATTTTAATTTTTACACGTTCCTTCTTTTCCAATTTTTAAATTATTTAGAAATAATATTTTTTTGAAAATAATTTTTAAAATCCTCTCATCAACACTTTTTGATAAGATTTCATAATTGTTCTCTTTTGATGTTTAAGAAAACGTCAGTTTTAAGAGATTTTTCTAAATAATTATTATTTTTAATTATTCAATTAGTTAAATACATAAGTAAGCTTTCGAATTATATCAAAAAAATTAATTTAGTTTTTATTCTTTTATTAAGTTTAAGTAAGTCAATGAACTCTTATTTTGAGTTAAATAAACTTTTTTTACTAAGTCAGTAGTTAATAATTTTATATGTCATCTTATTTATCACATAATATGTTAATATGTTATTTTGATGACATCAACACACATAAAAAATTATCGATTAAAATTTAATTTTTTTTTATTATCTATTTAAATATTCAAAAATTACTGGCTAAAGAGTTAGAAAAAAAATATAATTGTTTCAAAGTAATTACAATATTTTCTTATTTGATTACTATTTTTAACCATTGTTTCTAACAAAAAAAACCTAAATCAACTTTTCCAATTTGATAAAAACTATTGTTACTAAATTGAAAATTGGTATATAGAAATATGAGAATATCTAAATACAATTTTGAAAAGAAGAAGTTAATAATATATTTTTCTTTACATTTTTCACAATATTGAAAATTCAAGATTATCCAAAGAACGTTTTTTATAAGAGGAATATTAATTCTAGATAAAGAGAAAGATATTTTAATTATAAAGTACGTTACTGTAAAGTATGTTGATTTAAAAAATATAAAAAAATTCAAGAATATCTAGATACAATTTTGAGAAAAGAAAGTCAAAAATAAATTCTCTTTTCACATCTTTAACAATTTTTGAAAATTTAATACTACTTAAAAAATATTTTTAAAAAAAATAATAGAAATTTCATACAATAAGAGGACACTCTAACTACAAAGGATATTGAGTTTAAGGAATGTTGAAGAAAGGGAATAATTGAATATTTGTTTATGAGCAACAATAACTTCAATCAAATTGGAAACGTTAGACTAAGTTTTTTGTTAAGAACAATGACTGCAATTACGAAAATGGTATTTAATTATTTGAAGCTATTAGGTTTTTTTTTTTTATTTCAAATTCTTAATCAATAATTTTTAAACATTTAAATAAGTAAAAGAAAATAACTAAATTCATAATTAATAATTTTTTATACCATATCATCTACTACATGACATTAATACCATCAAGATGTAACGTTAACATATTACGTGATAAATGATGTGACATTAAAAATTATTGGTGGAAGAGGCTTAGTGATACAAAACAAGAGTTTTAGGATTTATTTGAAAATAATAAAAAAATAAAAACTAAATTAACTTTTTTAATATAATTAAAAGACTTATTTAAATATTTCGTCGATTCAATTTGTTGAATGGAAATTTTACTAACTAGTATTTTTTATTATCATTTTTTTAAATGTTTTCACAATTTTAAATATCCACATAAATAAAAACAAATAGGCACATGAAAAATGAATTAGGAAAATGTTCTTCAAGTGTGCTTAACTTAAATTTATAAACTTAAAATTGTCTTAAGCTTGGTCAATTATGGGTTGGGTTAAGTTTGGTGGATCGGGGTCCAGCAATCCACCCCATTTTCTTCTTTCTTTTTCATTTATTTTTTTCCTTCCTCCCATTCCAACACAACGTAATTTTTAAGGAACTATATAATTTTTGAATCAAATTCTCAAACTTTTCCTTTAAATCTCAAAAAAATCAAAAGTTTAAAAATTATAGATCTAGTCGTCGTCCATGAAAACAACTGAATGCTGGACATCTCATGAGTGCTTGCTTTTGCCCTATGAACAAAGCACTAACTAGGCTGGATTCAACTTCTGGCCTGTACTATGACTGCTCTGCTCACATGGTTTGGTGTGGAAGCGAACCCAGAAGCTGGATGGTGCCCATGTAGAGTTTCTGAGAGGAATTGCCAATCCACTAGGCAGAAAGGTATCCTCATGGAGGCAATTGAATGAACTTGAACGGTTTTTTTTTTTTCTGCCGTTGCTTTAGATATAACTGTAATTTGTTATATACCATTAGTTAACATTCTGCCTGGAGAAATTGGAATGGCTGAAGGTGAAACTTGTGTTGCAGGTTAGCGATAAAATGGATCCAAATGAACTAGTTAAGCTCATTGGAATACTGAATCCTCATAACAAGCCAGGTAGAATAACAATCATCACGAGAATGGGAGCTGAGAACATGAAAGTCAAGCTTCCGCATTTGATCAGGGCAGTCGGCAGGGCAGGCCACATTGTCAGTTGGTCTGCGAACCAATGCATGGGAACACTACTGAGGCACCATGTGGACTCAAAACCCGTGCCTTTGATGCAATTCTGGTAACTGTTTCCCTCTATGTTGCTGACAGCCGTCAATTCATGCAATGTTCAATGTTCGTCCCTGTTAGTTCAATGCTATAAGCATTATTTTGTTTCTGACAGGCCGAGGTGCGAGCATTCTTCGATGTCCATGAGCAGGAAGGGAGTCACCCTGGAGGCATCCATCTCGAAGTGACAGGGCAAAACGTGACTGAGTGAATTGAAGGGTCTCAGAGAGTGACATATGATGATGACTTAAGCTCATGTTATTTTTGCACACGGTGTGACCCAAGGCTTAATGCTTCTGAGTCTCTGGAGCTGGCTTTCATCATTGCTGAGCGACTAAGGAGCCAAAGAATTGGGCTTTCCTTGGGCCTTTAAACAGATTCTGAATACCCATATCATCTCCGATTAATAAGAGTGACATATATATATATATATATGTATATTTGTGAGTGAATAAAATGGATAATAAAATATGAAAATCCTGATAATAAATTTCCCTAAACTGGATTGTTTTTTATTATCATTAAATATGAAAATCCTGATAATAAATGGATAATAAAATAAGATTTGTGTGATTACCCATTTCTACAGATGATAAGCATTCCATTTCTTGGTTTATTTGTAAGAGTTATTAGAAACATTACTTTTAGAAATATTAGTAGTTATTGTATGATCCAAAAGGAGATTTTACATGTTCTTGCAATAAAATTTGCCATGGTATACATAGGATATTCTAAAACTTTTGTTTCTTTGTTGTCTGTTGATGACTATTATTTAATTACTATTTTTGTTTCATTATTTTTTATATTTTTCGAATAAAAAAATGTCTTAGGTAAAATGTTGTTTTTTCCACAAATAAAATATCGCTTTTTAATTTTTGATTTAAAAATGCACTCTATTTGTCTCTACTGTGTCACAAATTTCACATAAATAAAAAATAAGATAAATTTTAGGGATATAAATATACAGTTCACTTATCAGATATGTTTTTAATATTGAGAATATAAACTTATAATTTATTAATTTATTTTAATTTTATTTTCAAGATGACATTGTATTTAAGTTTGGACCGTAACGTATTGTCCGTATCTAGGCAACAATAAAAAAATTGTTTCAGTTCTGCATGAAACCCTAAGCAGAGGTGGGTTTAACTGAACCAAAAAA